TTCTACATTCGGTACCTAGTACCAATGACTGTTCTACACCTGGGCCTATTACCCGTTAGTGCTTTGCGCTCTCAGCCCTGTTCGTGCCAAGTTCTGTCAGCAGGGGCCTGCCTCTTGCTCCCAGCTTAGCTTTGCTTTTGTTCATTGTTAGCTAGGCCTCAGACCAGGCCTGTGCTCCATGGGCTTTTGTTATAGGCCCTCATCTTACTACACACCACAGTCATCAGCGAACTCATCCTGCACCAGGCAGCTGTGCTGGTTTATGGCTGCTTTGCTCCACTACAGCAGCACAGCCACGGGTGGGCCACGCTCTGGGCCGAATGGCCCAAATTCTGCCCACCATTCAATCCCCCGCAAACCCACCGCCGGCAATGAGAGCAGGATCGAGGGCAGCCCAATTCAGGTTTGGCGGGGAAGAGACGAAGGATGCCAGTTTGTAATCTGCTCCTCGCTGAACCTGCAGTCCCAGGGTCGTCACCTCTGTGCTGCTGTTCTCCCAGGGTGGGGTACAGCTTTGGAGTCACCAACACGCTCCAGGGGCAAGTACAGCATACAGAGGCTCTCTAGACAGGCGGCCACTTCTGGCAGCATGGACAAGCCAGATTTCATTGGTATGTTATTCTTCACATGGCATCAGCGCCGGAGGGCCCCCGTCAGAATTCGCACTCGACTCTGCTGGGTGCTGTACAAACGTAGAGGAAGCCAGAGTCTTGGCCTCAAAGGCTGCGTCTAGACTGGCAAGTTTTTCCACAAAAGCGGCTGCTTTTGCGCAAAAACTTGCCAGCTGTCTACACTGGCCGCTTGATTTTGTGCAAAAGCCCTGACGCTCTGTCCGAAATCAGTGCTTCTTGCGCAAATGCTTTGACCTTCCCGTTCGGGCAAAGGCCCTTTTCCGGAAATGTTTTTGCGCAAAAGGGCCAGCGTAGACAGCTAAAAACTGTTTTGTGCAAAAAAGCCCCGATGGCGAAAATGGCAATCAGGACTTTCTTGCGCAAAACTGCATCTAGATTGGCAGATGCTTTTCTGGAAAAGTGTCCGTGCCAATCTAGACGCTCTTTTCCGCAAATGCTTTTAACGGAAAAACTTTTCCGTTAAAAGCATTTGGGGAAAATCATGCCAGTCTAGATGTAGCCAAAGAGTTTGTGCTCCCCCTATAAAAACCTAACCAAGAAATTCACACCAGAGCCTAGGTCATGAACTCAGCATCACATCTGTACCTTAGTTTCCGTAGAGAAACTGCCTTGGGGCGGCAGGCTCGCTCAGACACTAGTATACATGCTAGCCAAGCAAACCAGCCACACGAAATCTGACCGATAATTTGCTGAAGACGAGGACAGTGATAACTATATAACCCGTCAGTCAGCAAGGAGTACGTGTGAGGGAGCCCAGGCGTGTTCCCTCCCCCTTCCGGTAAAGCCCACTCAGCACCCTATCCCTTGCAAAGGCACTTGGGGACAGCGCGAGGGATTTTCCCAGAATGCACTGCGACCACTGGCGTTAGGCAGACTGGTCGGAATGGACGCCCCACGTAGCTGACACAGTCCTGTGAGGAAAACCCAGTTGCAAAAAGCTGTGTAGGGTAAAGCCCTGACCCTACCCCAGTCGTTCGCTGCCTGAGGAAAGTCCCAGCGATTTGTAAGGCTGCTCCCTGGAGTTCTACCAAGCGCGACCAGGCATTCACGCAGCCCTGCACGACTCTGAGCGCTGCTGCGTGCTGGCGGGAAGGCGGCTGCTGGACAGAAGTGCTTTGTGGCGGGCGAGGAAGTCCTGGGGCTCTGCTAGCGCACTAACAGGGCTGTCTGGGGCAGGTGTGAAGCAGGGCTGGCGTAGCCCTCGCTCCTGCAGGCAGGCAAGTGCCGTACACTGTATTCTGTAATTTCTTTTCCGTCCCGAATGAAGGATGGAGGCTGCCTACCCCGTGCGCGCCCTGAGAGCCCAGACCGTGTGGAAGAGCAGGGTGCTGCTGTTTCATTGGCGCGGGCAAACTCTGCCTGCCACTCCCCGGCACTGTGCCCGCCGTGTAGCATCTGTAAGCACTTTGGTACGAAAGGGGCTGGGGAAATGTCAAACGCCCCAGTACCCTTAACGGGCCAGGCTAAAACAGCATCTTCGTTAGTGGGACATCTCCCAGGAAAGCGAGTGCGTCAGATAACAGCAAACGGTAATGAGTGTGGCTTAACTGTGACAGTGCTCGCCCAGTTCTCCTGAAAGGTGACCTGCAAAGACGATAAAACGGTTGGTGCCCTGTTCTCTGATGTTCAACCTCCCCCCCACACACCGAAATCCTCTCTCTCCTCCCTAGCCCAAACAGCAGACTCATTTGAGAAGTACCAAGCATCTTCACTGCCTTTGTTGTAGGACTCCTTCCAAGATCAGCACAGGGATAGCCAGGATCCCAGCTGATAACTGAAGGGCCCAAGGCATGGATCTATCACACTGACCTTTTCAATCATGACTAGTGGGGAGAAAGCAAATAAAGAAGTGCTATTTACACATAGCACGAGAACTAGGGGGTCCACCCAATGAAATGAATGGGCAGGAGGCTTAAAACCAACAAAGGGAAGTATTTCTTCACACAACCTGTGGAACTCCTTGCCAGAGGACATTGTGAAGCCCAAGACTATAACAGGGTTCAAAAAAGAACTAGATAAATCCATGGAGGGCAGGTCTATCAATGGCTTGGTAGGCAGGATGAGCAGGGATGACATCCCTAGTCTCTAAATCCCTCCCCACTGCAAACCTCTCTTACTACTCGTGGTGTCCTGCCATATTTTCCCTCAGCAAATGGCTCTGGCTTGTTCTAAGTCATTCATGCAGTGTTCCCATGGAGGCTGGTTTCTGTAAGTCGCCCAGCGTTCACCTAGTTCATGCCCCAAGCAGAGCTTGCGGGTGGTTATTTTATTGCACAAGCAGACACTCCACGGTATTTGGGAAATTGGAGGGCAAGGAACGGCCTCTGCCAGGGTCTGACTCATTCCCTATGCCTAGGCCCAAGTCCAGGTGGTGGCCCTTAGGAAACTTAACTCATGCCACTAACAAGAAAGAGGCCAGCCCCCTACCTGCTCCTGTGACGGCTGCCCGGGGGCTCCCTGCCGTTAGTGAAGCATCTTTTCCTGTCCATTCCGACAGAGCCCTTGGGGCGTGGGCTTTCCCAAGCCGGCTGTTCTCCTCCTGCCCCCAGGGCTGACACAGTCACTGCGTTACACAGAGGCCATCTGCACCAGGAGTGCAGAGGAATCAGGACAACTTAGCGCCCGAGTGAAGGGCCCATCAGGGGTGTCCAGTCTTCCCTGGCTAGGGTGACGATGCATCTCCCCTGGGAAGCACCCAGCCACTGTTCAAATGCTCCTCACGCAGCAGGGGAAGGCCACGACGCTTCCACTTGTGGCCACACAAAGGAGCCTTCCGTGGTAGGAAAACGCGTGAGCACGCAAAACCACGGGGCTCCCGCGTCGCAGCTGTCGTCTCCCTCGCAGCCGCGCCGAGCGCCTCACACCCACGTCTAAAAACGAGAGTCCAATCTGCAAATCAGACTGTCAGACGAGGCCCCAGCTCCTGCTCAAAGCCACTGAACAGCCATTGCTGGAAGCGTCTTTCTTCGATTGAAAGTCAGTACTGCAGAGGCAAAGACCCATATTTCACGATCACACCCAAGTGCTCCAGGTCCCTGGCTCCATCACCCGCCCCCCCCCCCCCCTCAGGGTTTTGTTACA